AATGGTGACTACAGCGGGTCAAATGCTCTGCGGAATAAACGTCTGAATGAAGTAAGGATTCATTTTAGCAACCCAGAATCCAGTTTAATAGTTAATTTGTAGAATTATAACAGCTATCATATGTTGCGGAAATCGATACACTTTTTTTCTATTAATTCACGTTCGAAATATCTTTCTAAGTATATTGATTTATTTTCTGCTTCAGGTCGGTATTTTTGTACTGTGGTATTTGAAATTAAAAATTAAATCAATTTAAACTTCTGGCAAATGACAGGAACTTGTACCAATATTGAAATAAAAAAAAATGTCATACAGTTTTTATCTACAAAAATAATTGTGCTGTGGTGCTTATGTTCTGAATTGGATGGGAAAAGAAAAAAAAATCAAAGAAAAAAGGAGGAAGAATTAATAAAGAAAAGAAAAATTTTCCGAGGCCAAAATAATGATGTCACTCTGTCAACTTTAATGCTTGAAGGCTTTTCGATTGAGAAGAGCTAATATGACTAATATTAATGAAAAACTTTGTCGTTTGGGGCGCGAAACTGAACTTCTACACACACGTATATTTGCTTCTACATAAGACGGGTTGCCCAAAAATTCAGGCTACTTCTTTCGAACAATATAAAAACAAAGGCCTTAGCATTTCTGTGCAATAGTGTTCTGTGAGAACAGGGCTTCTTCATGCTAAATGGGAAGGAGTTGATGGTGACGGTGAAAACTAAATAATAAATATTATCCGCTTAACATTCTGTGACATTCTTTATCGTCGCTTGGATGCATGACCTTCGTTGTCACTCGGAGAAAAGCAATGAAGTCCACATCATTTGTTAAATAAATGTGAATACAAAGAAATCATAATAGGAACCAAAATGGCAGTGAACTAAAGACATTCTTTCTTTCTTTCTTTCTTTTTCTTTGTTTCTTTTTCTATCTTTTTAATTTCTTATTGTCTTTCTTTCTTTCTATTGTTTCTTTTTCTTTCTTTCTTATTTCCTTCTTTTCTTTCTTTCTATGTTTTCTTATTTCTTTATTTATTCTTTTCTTACGTTCTTTTCTTTTTCTTTCTTTCTTTCTTTCTTTCTTTCTTTCTGTCGCAGTCTGTTTCAACACAATTCATCTATCTATCTATCTATCTATCTATCTATCTATCTATCTATCTATCTATCTATCTATCTATCTATCTATCTATCACAGTCTTTACATTATCTATCTATCTATCTATCTATCTATCTATCTATCTATCTATCTATCTATCACAGTCTTTTACATTATCTATCTATCCATCTATCTATCTATCTATCCATCTATCTATCACAGTTTTTACATTATCTATCTATCTATCTATCTATCTATCTATCTATCCATCTATCTATCACAGTCTTTACATTATCTATCTATCTATCTATCTATCTCCATCTATCTATCTATCTATCTATCTATCTATCACAGTCTTTACATTATCTATCTATCTATCTATCTATCTATCTATCTATCTATCTATCTATCTATCTATCACAGTCTTTACATTATCTATCTATCTATCTATCTATCTATCTATCTATCTATCTATCTATCTATCTATCTATCTATCTATCTATCTATCACAGTCTTTACATTATCTATCTATCTATCTATCTATCTATCTATCTATCTATCTATCTATCTATCTATCTATCTATCTATCTATCTATCTATCTATCTATCTATCTATCTATCTATCTATTATGTCTATCTCTAAATGTACAATTCCTTTACCCGAATTTTCCATCGGTTCTCATTTGTTCACAAAATTTAATTAATGAACTTGTGTTGTCTTAGTGAAGCTAACAATGTTTACTTCTTTACTACTTGTCTGGCTCGATTTACAAAACCATTTTTATGTCTTCAGTTGTGTGGACGGAGGGTCTCGCCGTCTACTTATGCGTGTGTATAAAACTGATTACCAAATTTTAGAAAAATATCTTGCTAATATTCCAACGAAAAAAGGCCATGTATATTTATAGTTTTAAATTAAGGCAGAAATATCTAAAACCCAATTCCTAAACAGACACTGACTCTTGGACTGAGACAAGAACGATTGTAGTTCTTCGCATTTTTCATATTCCAATTCAGGTCTTTCTATCAAAAACATCTTTACGATGAGGAACATACATTGTAGCTCCAACTTGCTGAAGACGGACATATTCCTTCTTGACAATTCTAAATTCTGAGAATACATGATGCGATGGATAAATTGTCGTCTAAATGACGCAAAAATAAAAATAACACTGGCATGTCATTTTAACAGATATATTTACCAAAATTACACAAAAATATCTAGAAATACTAAAGAGTAAATGTTATGGGGTCCCCCTTTTTTCATACAAGTGGACTCGACCAGTGTGTACTTGGACTGCTGTCGTTAAATACACAGAGTCAGTCAGAGTAGAAAGAGCAGAGATTGTGATGGAGTTGGAGGTAGAGTAATAGTGTGAGGTAACCGCTTGTAGAAGTCAGATTCAAGCACGTAGACTCTAAGGAAATCCTACTTAGCGACTGTGTATATATATATATATATATATATATATATATATATATATTATATGCTACTAACGGCGTTCCTGGATTTACTAACAGTATTACCCATTGTATTATTTTGTAATTACATTCAATTTCTTATGTTTAATTCTTGTGTTTGTCATTCATTGGAGACCGAATTTCATCTCGGAATCCACAACAGTAAATTTATTAGATAAAATCCCCATTGGCTTCATCCACGGACTCCAGACGACTTTGGAATCTCCTGCAACTTTTCTGGACAGTGAATGCCGCCATAATCCTTGCTTTCAGTTCATCTTTGGTATTACATAGAGTTTTGTTTGTCTCTCACTCAACTACACCCCACGGATAATAATCAAGGGAGTGGCTGACTGGGGAGTTAGGTGTCCAGATGTAAGGGGTGATATGGTCGTTGACTGGGTTATCTTGCTTGTGTGGCATGGTGCAGAGTTTAGTTGTCAGATATAGGGTCTTCAAGCTGCCACCCCCTTTACCAGAGAAGCATTATCTCCCTTGCTATGGACCTGATTGACATGGAGGGATCGTTGTCAAACATGACCTGGATTTCACCAACACATTTGGGATTTCTTTCCTTATTAAAACGATCAGAGTGAGTTTTACGAACTGTCCTAGCCTTGTAATCATAATTAGACTCATCCAACTGTTTTCGAATTCTATGTACTGTCCTCAGATTGACACCCAAAACACTCTAAAATGTTCGTATTGCAACTTCCGGACCGAATGCCAAGCAGTACAGCATGTCGCTTCCAAAATTCTGTTGGAGTGAATTGCGTCATAGTGCACTTTTTCTCAGAGACGTTGTCCAATTAACCCTACTAGACAGTGTTGTCTACAAAATCAAAAGCAGACAACGCGCACGCGCGAAATTATAAATATAAAATAGCGATAACTTACATATCGCACCCTCTAGAGGTACCGATACCCTTCCTTCTTATCTCTCTCTCTCTCTCTCTCTCTCTCTTTCTGTCTATCTATCTATCTAGATATACCAATTACATAATATCTATCTATCTATCTATCTATCTATCTATCTATCTATCTATCTATCTAATGAGTCTGCATGTTCCTTCATGTACCTATCTATGCATGTATGTGTATATGCATACGTTTCTGTTTTCTTAGTCTGTTCATATCTATCTAGCAAGCTAGCTAGCTCGTTAGATAGATTATTCGAACCTGCGTCGTCCTTCCTATCTCTCTCTCTCTCTCTTTCACTATCTATCTATCTATCTATCTATCTATACTAATCACATAATATCTATCTATGCATCTATCTATGTATATATACATATATTTTTCTGTCTTTCTTAGTCTGTTCATATCGATCTATCTAGCTAGCTCGTTAGATAGATAAATCGATAGGTTCTTCGAACCTGCGTCGTCTTTCCTCTCTATCTATCTATCTATCTATCTATCTATCTATCTATCTATCTATCTATCTATCTATCTCAGCCCTTTTTATATCTATCTATCTATCTATGCATATATTTTTCTGTCTTTCTTAGTCTGTTCATATAGATCTATCTAGCTAGGTAGATAAATAGATAGGTAGATTCTTCGTGCCTGCGTCGCCCTGGAGAGGAAGCACGCATATTTCTCTTTGATAAGATTTCTTGAATATTCCGGCTGGTAGACGAAAATAAATAAATATACAGTTTAATAAATAAACGGAGCTTCTACTCAAATACGAGTATCCACTAACTCCGATCATGATCTATCTATCTATCTATCTATCTATCTATCTATCTATCTATCTATCTATCTATCTCAGTCTATTCATATCTATCTATCTATCTATCTATCTATCTATCTATCTATCTATCTATCTATTTCACTCTGTTCATATCTATCTCAATTTCTATCTATCTATCTATCTATCTATCTATCTATCTATCTATCTATCTATCTATCTATCTAATTCTTATCATTATCTATCTATCTATCTATCTATCTATCTATCTATCTATCTATCTAATTCTTATCATTATCTATCTATCTATCTATCTATCTATCTATCTATCTATCTATCTATCTATCTATCTAATTCTGATCATTATCTATCTATCTATCTATCTAAAATAATTTCACTTTCTTATTTCATTGTCCAAAAACTAAGTAGGATACA